ATAAAGGGGCTAGCCTCATTGCCTCTAATGAAGGGATTACATTTTCATTACTGGTCATGGGAAACCTGGATTATATAAAACGGCATAAACGGTCCACCCTCATGCTCTTGAAGGTAAGGACTAGATTAGTCGGGAGTACCGTGCCCATAGTTCCCACAGGCCATTCAGGATTGGCACTAGGTCAGCCTTTCATCCTCTCAGCACGGCTCTCACACCTTAGGAAGTAGATAGTAGAAGGGGATGGAGAAGAGACGGAAACAAAAGCTGGAGAGGGAAAAGACCATGCAAAATTAGTTAAGTCGAGGGCTGAGGCCCTAGGTAGGGGAGATACCTGTATTGAGTCTCAGTCTTCGTCTCCTAAGCCCCCCCCCACGACAACAACAGGCAAGGGATTGGTGGGGGAATAATAGGTGTAGCCACCTACACTGATCGTGCCACTGCCAGGTCTTCTCACCTCAGAGGGAGCAGCCACCTCAACTCTCAGCATCCCCAGTTCCTTAGATAGTAGAGGCGACCGATCAACCTGACGCAAAGACCGGATGTTCCAAGCCCCCACCATAACTTCCCGCCTGAGGTTAACCCTCGGGCAGTCACTCCGGGTGGATGCCTCCTCTGCCACTCCTGCCGAGGCTGCCACACATAAAAGGGGGCGGCAGGCTGCAGGACCCGACATCCTCCTGTGGGGTTCCCTAGGGCTTTGCCCCAAAAGTTTCATTCCAGGCTGGCAGCTGCCAGAACGCAGGCAGGACGAGTACCTCCCGTTCCCATCCTGCGCCCCAGCAGTCGCCCCCCGCACAGGGCCCGCAGCCCGCCTCTCTCGCTGGGTAGGAGGGGCATTTCCCCTTCCACTATCATTTCCAATTATATAGGACGTTGCCGATGAGGTTTAATCTCTAGGGTAAGCGGGAGTTAGTACAAGGCCAAGGCGTGTCCACACACTGGTGGGCCATGACCCTGTACCTCTGGGGCCTCCTGCTGCTCTGAGATCCCCTACAGTTCAGCCTGGGACTGCAAGGTACTAGTTTCCATAGGTGGCCGCGGGGAGGCACTGCAGGTCTCGATGATTGAGAGGCCCCCTGGCAGGGGAGGCTTATGCAAAGCACCACCTTTTTTGTACTATGTTAGCCAGCGGTGGCAGCGGTGACACTATCGGCCCGCGTCATATTTGTTACATCGATTTGTTTTTACAAAACCCTAGGAAATGCCAAAGCCGTCCAACGTCTACCGTCTACCCATTGTTTATCATCTAAAGTCTATCAAAACCGCCTGTCCGTCTCTTCGTCTCCATCAACACGATTCAAGTGCAGTAACATGTACCTTTGAAGAATAGACAATTTTTAAAGACGTGCTTGATCTTGGACCAAATGACATTGAACAATATTCCCCTTACACTATGTAATAGTTTTGAATTCTTAAAAATAGTTTTTGAGTCTTGAAAATAGTTTAGAATTCTTGAAAATAGTTTTAAATTCTCGAAGATAGTTTTGAATTCTTGAAAATAATTTTGAATTCTGAAAAATAGTTTTTGAGTCTTGAAAATAGTTTTGAATTCTTGAACATAGCTTTGAATTCTTGAACATAGCTTTGAATTCTTGAACATAGTTTTGTATTCATGCAACAACTGAACTATGAAGTACAGAGTTCTTTTATTCATGGCGGAAAACATAGTTTTAAAATCTTGAAAGAATTGAGCTTTGAAGCACAGTTTTGAAATCTGGGGCTAGTTTTGAAATCTTGAAAGAATTGAGCTTTGAAGCACAGTTTTGAAATCTGGGGCTAGTTTTGAAATCTTGAAAGAATTGAGCTTTGAAGCACAGTTTTGAAATCTGGGGCTAGTTTTGAAATCTGGTGATAGTTTTGAAATCTGGTGATAGTTTTGAAATCTTGTGTGTTTTGAAATCTGGTGATAGTTTTGAATCTTGAGATAAGTGAACCTTGAAACGCATAGTTATATAATCTTGACACAGTTGAACTTTGAAGGTACATAGTTCTAAAATCTTAAAACAAGTGAACTTAGAATTATACATATAGTAATAATGATACCTCAAGTCATTATGGAAAAGTTTGCATATGGAAATAAACACTTGGATGTTAAAGATATCATTACTAGCCACTGTGAATTAGTTCCTGTTACGGACAAAAGACTAGTTATTTTGTCGGGCAGTGACAGAGAGACTGGGTGAAACAATTCATTATGAAAAACATACTCATGTATAATTAGAATTGTTGAAACGTTTCACTGTGATGGTTAATGGTTAATGTTACAAAAAATAAATGTGCCAGACACCAAAGCTCCTATTACACTGTAGAAAGGTGTAGAAGTGGAATGGGTAAAGAAGTGGGTTAGTTGTTGATTAAAAGTGCCACACATCAAAAGTCATAGAGCAGATTAGGACAGCATGTTATTACATCGGGTGAGGGGAAGAGAGGGTAAGTAAATTGGTTAATGTAGGGATTAGCTAAAGGGTGGTTAGATCAAAGTTTGTTAAAGGAAAAATTGGAATTCTGTAAAAATGTCCATGGGGTAAGGCTAGGATTAGCAAAAGAAGAAAGGGGGGGGGTATTAGGGGTGATTAAATCAAAGAGCAATTTCAGGAGAAATGTCAAGAGGGGGAGGATTCAGGGAAGGGTATTGCTGTGACAAATGGGAGTCATATGTGTATCCATAAAAGTGCAGAAGGGATCACTGGCAGATGAAGCAGGGGGGATGGGATGTGTTGGGAGTAAGTGGGAGGAAGGGGTGTAGAAGGAACATGAGTAGGAGGAGGATGGTTGTCGGCAGTCACTTTTAAGTGTAGAGGGAATGGGAGTAGACAGAGTGAAGTATGGATGTGGTATGGGTCTATTATTTTGAGTCATAGTTGATAGTTTTGGATGTCATCAAGAATTCCTGAAATGGAGGGAAGGTTTAAGAAAAAAAGGTTTTCTTATATGGGGGAGAAGAGGGGACAGAGGAAGAGGTATATGCAGGGGAGGATGAGGCAGGAAATGAGGTGGAACATTTATATTGCCAGATACGATGAGTAAAGTGAGAAGGAAAAGGGGAAGGCACTGAAGCAGAAATTGGCAGTGTCTGAATTTTGACTGGCAAAAGAAGTGGGAATGTAAAGGTTAGGAGGAAGAGATACTGGGAGAGGTGTATAAACATCTTGGAGAGAAGGGTAAAGGGCAGAGTGAAGAACTGCACTGGAGTTAGAAACACAAAAAAAAACCTCGTCAGCGTGACTCCTTCCTGGCCTCACTACAAAGTTTAAATCTGAGGACTGCTACCTCAGACTCAAACTTGTAGGTAGGGTAGCCCCTGAAAATATATGGTACAACACAAATGGCAGATTGAATGGTCATCTGTGGAGTGACAGCTTAGCAGGGTGGCCAAAACACCATTTCTGATATTGACAGAGGAAAGGTCAATGTGGTCAGACAGGGCAGGACTCCACTAATGTAAACTTCAGAGGGAGGTCATGTGTGTAGAAGGGAATTTATGCATATTGTTGTAGGACTTTTGGCGCCCTCTGTGGGGAACAGTGTAACACTATACTGATACTGCATTAGGTTAACAAGGCAGGCAAGCATGTCGGTTTCACAGTCTGCCCAATCCTTGTTGTAGAAAGTGCAGTCAGCCTGGGAGATGAAAGTAGTACAAATATCAAGGGAAGAGTGAGGCTGGGCAGGAATTGGTTTGCCATTGCAGTCGATCTGGAAAGATATTACACGAGCTTGAGACTAAGATGTAACTGAGACAAGGCATGAGCAATTGGAACAGCTGAGAAAGGAAACTTCACCTACTTGTTTTTGAGACATTACTGGAATAGGGAATTGTCAGAATAAGGGGCTGTAAGGAGAATTGATCCCACTTAGCTAGGCAAAAAAGAGTATACAAAAGATTTGTAGAGGTGGAAGTAGTTGAAGGGTGAGGACAGTGGTACTAAGAGAGGTAATACTATTGGGGGTGGATGGATGTAGAGTAGTAATAAGGAATGAGAAGACTGGGGAGGATGAAATGGAGTGGAGGATGTTAGGAGAAAGAATGGAATGTTTTCTGAAGGATGGGTAATGACCTGGATAGGGGTATTGGAATGGACTGAGCTGACAATAGGTATTGAGGAGTGGGAAATATTCATGTTCAGATTCAGGATCAAAGGACAGCCAAGGGTCTGTGTACATAAAAAGTTAATGTCATTGGGGCTAGTTGATAATGTGGCAAATCTCAATGCCTTTAACAAATGTACAGAATCATTACTGGTCCTGGTAAGCCTGGGGTATGTGGGAAAAAGAAAAAGGTTCAGCCCTCAGGGGTACAGGCTAGATAAATAAACAGACAAATACCATGCCCATGGCTCCCTGAGGCATTCAGAACTGACCCAAACATGGTTCTTACATCTTAGTAAGTGGACAGAAGATTGGGTTAGAGAAGAGAAGGAAAAGGGAAGAGGAAATGACTGTCTAAAATTGTTTGTGCCAGGGATTGAGGCCCAAGGTAGGGGAGGTCCCCAACATTGGGCCTCAGTCTCCATCTCCTAAGCCCTACCGCCCTGTTTGTAATTCTTACTTTTTGAAAATTTAATGCTTATCAATCCCATAAGGGGATGTAACACATTTTATTATTGGATAGAACTGGCAAATCATATCAGTATTAAATTATTCCCAATTGTTACTAATCAAGACTAAGAGAAATTTAAACAAGAATATTATTCTTAAATACCAGTATCTAATAACAAACAGGGGCAATCCATTTATAACTTCATATCACCAAGAGTTGGCATCAGCAGCACTAAATGACAACCTTATGTGTGCTGGCACATATGCATCCTCCTTACGGGTAATAGTCACAAGATGCATAATCTTCTGTTTCATATCAATTTCGTTTATTTTGGCAACAGGGTGAAAAGATGTAGAGTGTATTTTGCTTATAAACACAATCATCCACAAGTACTTAGTCATATATATGCCATTACTCTAACTGTACATTATACAAATACCTGGTTAAATAAATGAAATCATGTCAGTGATACTTTTATTTTTTATCTTAGTTTTTGTTAACAATGACATATTAAATAACAGAATGCTTATAAAAATTTACCCTAATACAGTTTTTACTTCTTTCCTTCCACAGTATCTTGATGATAATTTTCTTTGTATCACAACTTCCCTAGGACACTGCTTTCTTTCAAAGGACCCTAGCTGTTCCAAGCCACATCCACTGCCATCATTCCACAGCAGTCTCACTCTTACCCTCACTCTTTATCACATCCACACATGCATGTGCACTCCTGCACACAAGCATGCATGCACATACAAACACACTAACACAAAATCAACAACGCTCGCACAGATATACACACTCGCACAAAGATACACATGCACTCACACACAAACATAATAAGAGATGAATAATGTTCACACACAATGCACCCCCCCCCCCTTAAAAAAAAATGTAATCTTGTACTAAATCATAGTTCTTTTAAATCTACATTTAAATAGTCAAGTCAAAACAAAACCAAAGCTATATATTTTCTTTATAATATAAACAATAAAGTCTTTTAAGCTCTATAAGAGCAAGTATAAAACTACATACTTCTCTATGCATTGCATACCATGAAGATCAGGAGTCTAAGACAATGTAACCTATATATGGAGTACCTCTTGCAATTATTCGCAACTGAGAAGTATGGTAAATCATTCTTACTTGGGTAAACACCTCAAAAGGCAATAAACCAAGCATTAGAACTTCTAGATGTGGAAGTTGTTCTATAAATGGCACATAAAATGAAGCTTGAATATTTCTTCTTCTTGTGTTATGGGTTCGTGGTATAATCAATGGATGAGCTCTAAAACTTAGGCGCAGAGTGTGTATGCCAATGATTAATTTGTTTATGGCTAACATCATTAACCATTCACATGGAGCATGCTCTAGTACCAATTCTAAGCTTTTTAAGTTTGGAGATGCCTTTATCAGTTTTTCTATCAAAGTGTGTATGTACACAGTACCACTAAGTGAAGTATAGGTAACACTAAGTGACTCCAAACTGTGGAGTGTCTTTATAGAGATATCTCCTTCACTCTGAGCATGGATGCTTTCATACATTCTTAGTTCTAGCAACTTTAGTGATGGACAAAGGATGATAGCCTGGCACAGTTCTCTTGCACTGATCTCTACATGTAAATGAAAATGTAGTGCAGAAAGATTATTGCCATTTTTTTCAAAGAGAGAGGAATATACAGAGAGTATATCACCTACTCTTACATCCTCGGGTGGTGTAAATGGCACATGAACTGTAAGACTGCTGCATCTAAATTTTGGTAACCAAATTTCAGCAAATTTTGCTTCTTCTTTAACACTTTCAGCATCTGTTCTAACATCAACACAATTACACAAAGTAATATGCTGCAACTCTTTAAAATATGAAATGATTTTTTCACTACTTGAAAGACAAGATAAATGATACTGTATCCAAGGCATGAGACCACTAAAATGTACATGTCTCATACTATATGTTAAATCTTTACAGTGTTCTGGTAGTTGACTAGGAATATGTACCATGAATGGCCTTAACAAATGCCATGATACATTTACAACATTTGGATAATAATACAAAATATTATATATAAACTCAGCTAAGGAGTATCGTGTAACCATGTTCTGGGGATATGCCTTCCAACCAACATCAATCCACTTAAGTCTAGGGAATGACAAGCTGATATCCTTTGTGCTGGATGGTCTCTTAGAAATCTCACTAACAGTTTTGTAATCTAGTCCTGAGAAAAAGGTTTTGTATAAACAATCAATTGGGACCAGCATCCTGCCAAATACTTGTTCAAGAATAAAAGTATCAATCATATTGCAGTATGAGCCAATACTAATAAGTATTTCTTCAGAGATATTATTTCGAAAGTGCACCTTCTTCAGCAAAGGTGAATTCTTAATAATAATAAGCCATGGTTCTGAATCTCCAAAAAGCAAGTGCTGTGTTGACATTTCTTCAATTCCAAATGTCCCAAAAGACTTCAAAAAATCACAGTAATCATGACAAAGACTGCGTGGAACCTCCAGGTGAATCTGTAAGTAAAGAGAACATGTATATATTATATATCCAAAAAACAGTATGCTTTAATATTTACATGGGAGGTTCTGTTATCATGCATTCCTTTTTATATCACAATATTTTTCCTTTATTATTAAAATTAAATTACAGATATATAGAACTACCAAAAAAGGGTGGAATACTGAGACAACAGCAATTTTGATTCTTTTTAACACTAACCACAGGATAATCTGGACATTCTGCAGCATCCGCTGTGCTCCCTGCCTTCTTTGAGAAAACCAGCTGCAATACAAATCTGAAGAGTGGGAACACACATACAGGGTCGATGAGCTCTAATTCTCTTGTGAAACATTCCTTGATTTGTCTTCGTATTTCTGTGTCTTCACTGCCAAGCCATTCATTTCTTTCCCACCATTTCTTCAACTTGAGCAGATGTTCCTAAAAAATTATATTAATCACATAGTAAAAGAGATGGATGTTTATAAGTCGTAAAATAATTGACTATTTAACCCAATTGACACGTTTGGCAAGAAACCTTCCCCTGCCTACAGTTATATAAGTATTTTGTTGTCTTTACACATAGATGGCTCTGGAGATATTTAGTCACCCAGGAGTCAGTTACTAGTACTACCAATCTCATTTGTTTATCTTTTTCCTTGATTTTTGGAATGCTTCTTTTATATAATTATATTGTCTTTAATGTTATTGATAATTTAAAACCATTTTAATAATCATAATATCAGTAAGACTAATAACAGTATCATTATGAAAAGTGTAAAAAGGAAAAACACATTTTCCCACCATTTCAAGGAATGGGTTAGTCAGGCGCGATCATTAGAGATTCCTTGGTGGCAGAGTACATGTGGAACCAACCTGTATGTAACAACATTCAATAAAAGCTACAGAGTAATATCTCATGGAGATTGAGTCTCGACTTGGGTAGATAATGTACTACCTCTCTCTCTCTCCCTCTCCCTCTCTCTCCCTCTTCTCCCCCTCCCCTCTCTCTCTCTTCTCTCTCTCTTTCCGTAGCGTCATCTCTCTCGTCTCTCGTCTCCATCTCTCTCTCTCCTCGATCCTCTCTGCTCTCTCATACCTACTCTCTCTCATCTACGTCATTTCCTCATATCTCGCGCTCACCTCTCTTCCAGCGGGCGAGAGGCGCCACTTCTGCGGATATATTTTGCGTACAGCTCATTTGACTCTTCTTTCTCGCTCTCATATACTAGTATCACGGAGTGTAGTCTGTTCTTTCTGTTCTGATTCTTAGATCCATTAGCGTCTCTCAGTTCAGTGCAATGTAGGCTCGTCACTTGGTCTTCTTACTCTCTCTCATTCTCAGTCATATCTGGAGTATGATTCATAGGAATCTCTCTCTGCTCTCTCTCTCATAACTCTCTCTCTCGTTACCTCTCTCTATCGATCTCTCAATCTCTTCTCGTTCTCGGCGATCGAGCTCTCTCGAGTATCTCTCGGTCGGCTCCCGGTCAGTCCTTGCTCTCTGTCTCTCTCATCATACTCTCTCTCTCTCTTCTCTCTCACATACTTGGTCTGATTATACTCTCTCTGTCATTCTCTCGGTCCTCTCATACTCTCTCTCTCGGTCTCTCTCTATACTCTCTCTCTCAGTCGTCTCTCTCATACTGTCTCTCATCTCTCGTCTCTCTCATAAACTCTCGGTCTCTCGTCTCTCTCTCATACTCTCTCTCTCATCGTCCTCTCTCATACTTCTCTCTCTCTCTCGTCCTCTCAATACTCCTCTCTTCTCTCTCTCTCATTAACCTCTCTCTCTCTCCTCTCTCATACTCTCTCATCTCTCTCTCCTCTCGTCATACTCTCTCTCTCTTCNGCAATCGTTCGCAAGTATAGAATTCGGAGTCCTGCCTGCTAAACAAAAGGAAATGCCTAAAAGGCAAACGAGCTGATTTCCGCACAAAACAAATAACACTGTCCCTTCCTACGCAACAACAGCTGCTACACAACCTGCTCAGACCAGCACACCCAGACGACCCACGACTTCCTCTCGGACAACTCTGCCCACACAACCCCAAACAAGCACCCTCACAACTAACACAAACCCAAAAATCCAGGCCATATTACACGTAAGTCTCATCACTGCAAAATACAACGCTAAAAGATTCGCAAACATTGTCCCTATTATGCTCCAAAGAAACGGCTTCCCCAGCATTGTTGTCCCTGAGGAAATCTTTGAAGACGAAAACCTATACATCCCTGAGTACGCCACAACAAGCACAGAAACCACAGGAAATGAGGTGACAGACACTCACCCAGAGCCTCATTCTTCCTCACAACATCGACACCTCGTTTTGCAACCTCAGCCACAACGAAGACATAAAGAAACAGCACAGTCACGCAATTCTACAAATACCACTGATCACAAACGCAAACAAACCACACCACCATCCACGCACTCCAAGAAAGACAAAAAGGATCCTCCTATCCCTCAAGCTCGTCGTCATATATTGGATGACACCATTCTTGACGACGACAGTAGCGACTTCGACATCGATGTCGAGAGCGTTCTCGAGGCCGGGCTTGGGCTGGAGCCATGCTGCCCGCTAGGGGATCCCTGGGACAGCGCGGGAGCATCGGGAATTGGCCCGCCGATTCCCAGGACTTCCGCGCCGTGTCCTGTTCACAGGACTCCCTGCCTGACCTCGAGGAGCCGGCGATCGCGCATCGATCGCGGAGCCGCTACAGGGATCAGGTTACGCCACACAAGGTAAACCCAGGTAGAATGGGTGTACCTTGAGTGACTAACTGACGACCGACCGAGCCTCCATCTCGGTGGAGGACCCCGTGTTGGCTAGGTCGATCTAGACGCGCAATCCCACGCACGAGCTGCATCTAAACAAAACAAAAAACTCTCTCCTTCACACACAAACAATCTACTCTCACTAACTTCAAAAACTAACAAACACAAACTCCAGTTTGTTCTGATTGAATGAAGCACTCAGACGGTTCCTTGTAATGGGTCGTGACCAATCTATTGCACGTCTGAACTCGCTTCCTCCTTAACATCATGTGGGGTAAGTTGGCCTGTAGACAGACCAACAAACTCAGTGCTTGACTCACCACTGGCTGGGTGGACTCACCCTCCATCCTTCGTTCCGACTGGAGATCAGGTTTAGGCCATGATCTCTTTCTTTGGCATGGGACAGGGAATGATGCAGTTTTCGGGTTTTGCCGCATCACTTTGAAGCCACCTTCTACTCATTCCTTTCAAATTTCCCCTTCCCCTATCCACTCGT